AAAACAAAGAAAGAATCTGAACAGCTGAATCAGATCCTAGAACATATGTATAGTTATATACAGTTTCTACCCCTCTTCAAATTAGTACATATTCTTTTCAGAAGCACAAGTAATTTTTTCAAATAGATCACATACTAGTCCACAAAGCCTGCTTAATTAAATGAAAAGTATTGAAATCACCTGAGCATTGTGAAATGAATATAGAAATCAATCAAAAGAAATTTCCAAAAGGCAAGAGCCTCTGGAAAATTACAAACATACTGAGAACACTCTGAGAACAAACCAAAGAAGAATTTTGAAAATTTCCAGAAGCTAACAACAAAGACCGTACAACTCAATGAAATCTCGGGGATAGTATGAAAGCAGTCTTAAAGGAAAATTCATTGCAAGCAATGCTCACATTAGAAAACAAAGCAAGCTGATCTAAATGGCCTCATGAAAAATCCCAAGATACTTAAGAAAGAAAAACAAACTAGCCCAAACTGGAAATTAAAGAGGGAAATCATAAAGATGACAGTGAATATCAGTGAAAACAGGACAAAAAAAAACTAAAAAAATCAAAGAGTCAAAGAATTGGTTTTTTGAAGGAATAAATAAAATATGCAGTCCTCACCAAGAGAAAGAGAAAGGTTCACATTGATGCAATTTAAAATGACAATATTCAAAGGAAAAGAGACACTGTCAGAACCCAAAACATAGTAACTATTTCAAAAATTATTTTCCAACAAATTAGTAAACTTTGAAGAAATGAACAGAATCCTACACTCATACAAGTACCAAAGCTAACAAACCCAAAAAGACAGCTATGCTTAACAACTGAAGAATAGGGGCTGGGGATTTAGCTCAGTGGCACAGAGCCTGCCTGGCAAGTGCAAGGTCATGAGTTCGATTCCCAGTACCAGAAAAAAAAAAAAAAACAACCAAAGAATAAGCAGTGCAATTTACACTCTAATAATGATTCTATCAAATAAAATAAGCCAAGGACCTGATGTATTCTCTGTTGAATTCTATAAAATATTTAAGGAAGTTGTATCACTAATACTTCTCAAGCTCTCAAGAAAATTGAAAGAAATGAAGTTCTCCCAAATTAGTTTATGGAAGCCAGCAACATCCTCATCCCAAGCTTGGAAAAAGATCCAACTAGAAAAGAAAATGCAGGTCAATGTGCTTTATGAACAAAAACGCAAAAATCCTCAATAAGATGTTATCACGTAGAATGGTGCACATTATCATAAACATGATACATCATGATCAAGTAGGTTTCATCCCAGTGATGCACAGATGATTCAACATACAGAAGTCAAATGTAATAGAGCATATAAACAGAAGCAAGGACATAACCAATATAATCACAAGAGTAGATGCAGAAGGCATTCAATAAAATCCAACAACATTTCCTAATTTAAGAAAAAAAAAAAAACCCTGAAGAAAGCCAGGTGAGGTGGCCCACACCTTTAACCCCAGTACTTGGCAGGCTCAGGCAGGAGGAGCATTGAAATTCTGAGACCAGCCTGTGCTACACAATAGCTCCAAGCCAGCCTGAACTGCATAGTAAGAACCTGTTTAAAAAAGACAAAAGGAAAAATGAAGAGGACAAGCGTAGAAGGACTATGCATCAATGTGATAAAAGTTATTTATGACAAATGGAAAGCTAACATCATACAAAATGGGAAAAAATGCAAAAGTATTCTCCCTAACATCGGGAAGAAGACAAAGATATCTACCAGAGACTCTTCTATGCAACACTGTGCTTGAAACATTAGCCAGAGCAATTAGACAAGAGAAAGAAATTAAAGGGTACCTATAGGAAAGGAAGTACTCACATTAGCATTATTTGCAGATAATAAGATACTCAACATAGGAGTTCCAAGGACTTCTCAAAAAAACTCTTAGAGCTAGTAAACAACATCACCAAGTAGCAGGGTACAAGATTAGCACACAAACATCATTAGCATTTGTGTGCAACTACAGTGAACAGGATTAGACAAAAATTATGAAAACAATAACATTCACGGTTGCCTCAAGAAAAATTAAGTATCCAGGTACTGATCCAACAAAGGAAGTGAAAGATCTCTACGATGAAAATTACAGTACTCTCAAGAAAGGCATTGAAAAGGACCCACAAAATGGAAAGTTGTCCCTTGCTTCTAGATATGCAGAACCAATATTTTCAAAATGGTGATACTACCAAAACTGTTTTAGAGATTCACTGCAGTCTTAATCAAAATACCAACAGCATACATTACAGATCTCAAGAAAACAATCCTAAAATTCATATGGAGCCAGAAGAGACCCCCAGTAGCAAAAGCAAGTGGGGGAAATAAGAGCAAAGCAAGTGGCACACCCATACATACCTTCCAGCTATACTGTAAATAACAGTGGTAAAAATGGCACAGTAATGGAAACAAACCAGAAACATGGATCATTCAAACAGAACTCAGTATACAGAAAGTTCCTCAGTGATATTCACCTATTTGATGTTTGAAAGGGGCCAAAAGCATATGTGGAAAAAAGATAACCTATTCAACAAGTGAAATGAATGAACCTTTCTGGAAAATAAAACATTTACATCTTGTGAAGACATAAGTTTAACTGAACCTCAATTAAAGAAGAAATAGCAACAAAAATCAACTAAGGGTACTGTATGAGACTAAAAAGCCACTATACAGCAGAGGTACCAACCAGTAGAGTGGAGAGACAAAGAATGGGATAAAATTTGTGGAAGGTACTCCTCAGAGAGAAGAATAATATCTAGAATATACACAAAAATCAAATATTGAAACCAACTAAAATTAAAGACTCAGTCAAGGAATGGGCCAGAGAAACGAACCGACACTTCATAGATTAAGAAAAACAAATAGTCAATAAATAGATGAAAAAATATTCAACATCTCTCACCATAGAAATGCAAATTGAAAACGCTAAGATTCCATGTTATTTCTGAAAGAATGACAATGATATGAAATCAAACAATAAAAAATGTTGGCATGGCTGTGGAGAGAAACAAACCCTCTTGCACTGTTGGTGAGAATACAAAATAGCACAACCATATAAAAAACAGTACAGAGGGCCGGGAATATAGCTGAGCAGTGCAACACCTGCCTGGCAAGCTCAAAGTCTGGAGTTTGATTCCTTGTACAAAAAACTAAATACCACGCAGATTTGCCAAAGAACTGCAATTAGAAATTCCATATGACCTAGTTCTCCCCCTGCCAAGTATCTTCCTCAAACAGTTTAAGTCATCATACTACAGCAACACATGCACACCTATGTTTATATTGACACATTTTGAAATAGCTAAATCCTGGACGCAGCCTGTATATCCATCACCAGATTACTGGATAAAGCAAATGTATCTATATATAATGAAATTCTACCTGGGTATAAAGAATGACATATTTGAGACATCTGTAGGAAAATGTATGCACCTTGAAAATATAATGTTAAGTGAAAGTAGCCAGTCACACAAGATTAAGCACTGGATGGTATCACTTATTTGATTGAGGCAAAGGACACAGAAAGAAAACCGAAAAGGATGGATAGAAAGACACAAGGGGCAGACTTCCTGAAAGAGAGAAGAGATTCAAGGGAAAAAGAATGAGGGGTGAGGGGGAAGAGAAAGGGAAATGAGAGAAATAAAGATGTGCCATGTACAGGAACCTACAAACAGGAACCTAAAAAGCTCAGTTACTGTATTGATTGATTGATTGGTTGATTGATGCTGGGAATTGAACTCAAGACCTTGCCCTTACCAGGCAGGCACTGTGCTGCTGTGCTACCTGCCCGGCCCCCCAATTACTATGAATACTCTATGCCATAACATGAACTAAGACATAATATCAACAAGTATGAAAAAGATTGTAGGGGTATTGGATGGACGGGAGGGGAGGAGAAGGGGATTTTCAAAGAAGAAACAATCTGTAAAATGGAATGCCACCACATCCAAGATAAATGTAAACTGTATAAATTGCAAAATTGAACTAATAAAATACTTAAAAAATTATTTAAAAATATACAAAAACTAGGCCCCCAAAATTGAAAGATCCAGTGAAAAACTGGACACCTGAAATGAGTAGATAATGGACAGATGATGTAAATTTGGCTAACAAATTCAGGAAAAAAATGATCAGCATTGCCTCCCAGTAGAAATTCAAACTAAAACAACACTGAAATCTCCTCTCACTCCAGAAAGAATGGCTATATTCAAAAAAATCAAACCACAGCCAATGCTGGCAAGCCTGTGAGGTAAAAACAACCCTTTTTCACTGTTGGTGAGAGTTTGATCTGGTACAACCCCTATGAAAACAGGGATGGACATGACGTCTAACACTAGCACTAGAAATTACATTTGACCAGGATGTTTTCCTTTTAAGAAGCTTCCCTGAATAATTAAAAATATCCTGTCACAGTGATCTATGCACACTTTGTGGGTAGTAGCACAGTTCCCAAGAGCTAAATCTCGGACAAGGCATGTATGTCCAGCAACAGATTAAGGGATACAGGGTGGTAGAGAGAAGCAATAGGTTACCAGTCTGTCATAAAGAAGCATAAACTTGAATCATTTGCACGCAAATTGTTGCAAATTGAGAATATATTGTCAAGTGCAATAAATGAGATATACACGTTCATTTATTTTTATTTTATTTTATTTTTTTTTGGTTTTTCTCCAGTACCGGGAACCGAACTCACGACCTTGCGCTTGCCAGGCAGGCGCTTTTGCCACTGAGCTAAATCCCTAGCCCCCAGATATACACGTTTAAATATCTGGTTTCTTTTAGATGAGGACAAAATATATAAAAAAAGCAAAAATAAAGAGTACAAAGTCATCATGAGGACTGTGATCATCACATACTACAAACATAGGAGAAAAGGAATCCAAAAATGCCTTTGGGGAAAAAAGACAGGGGAAGTGGATCAAAACAGAAAGGAGGCCGTGCAAATATACAGAATTCCCACAATAAATGCAATCATTCCATATTACAACACAAAGCTTTACATACCTCATCCAAATTCCTCAACTTGATTGCTGACAGCATTTCTGGGGAACTCCTGGATTGGACAGAAGGACAAGGTTACAGAAGCTCTCCTTTGTCTGGAGTGTGACCAAAGACTCACACTTCCCCTCTGAAGACCTGCACAAGCACATTGCAATCCAAGGACACCACACCCTGTGACCCCAGGGGTAGAATTCATAGCAAAGGCAAAGCTCTGCTATTCCTGAGTAGACATCCACTATCATTACTACTGTTCAGGATAGTTCTCAAAACTTTATCCAGAACAAGCAATCATAAGAAATGAAAGGGATCACAGAGGGAAATAAAAAGTTAAATTTTCATTATTTGCACATGACCTAATCGTCTACATGAAAGAACCCCCAAACTCATCAATAAGCAAATTTGGTACCATCGCAGGTTAGAAAATCAAAACAGAAAAATCAATAGCAATCCTGTACCTTAATAAGAACTTCACCAAAAAAGAAATTAGGCAAACAGTAACTTACACAGAGGGTCATAAAAATTAACTCCTTCGGAATTTATATAACCAACACATGATTTTTAGCTACCGCATACTCTTCCACAGGTATAGGGGATGACAAGTGACTTCCTTGTGTGTCGTTAAAGTGTTTGTGTTTTGCATAGTTCTTTCCATGAACAAACTTTACTACTGCAGTGCAAAATCCTTATTTTAATGCTGACTTCAGGCTCCTTATAGAAGCTGCAACCCGTTACCTTGAACTGAACTGCACTAACTTTTAGAATTCAAAGAAAGTAAGACTCTGATATCCTCTTCGTTCCCTGTGAGCTGAAAGCTGTGCTCTCCTGGGAATTCTGCATCACGTGGTGCACGGCAGAACATGGCATCTTTTCTAGAATGTTCTGGGACCTCTCTCGGGGTGGGGATTCCCCCGTTGTCCCTCAGCCCCCATTCTGGCCTCAATCTGCCCAGGTCCTATCCACTCCGCCACGCTGAAGCCCAGCACTCAGAACAGGCTCTGACTCTGCACTCCGGGCCTCCTGAGGCCAGCGGTCCCCACCTGGGAATTCCTTCTCAGTGAGTAAGGCTCACGACAGACACGGATCTGGATTGATGGAGGCCCTCTCTCTGCAGTGCGCTTCCGCACTCCCCACAGCCTGTCACACTGCACCCTAACCGAGCCCACCACCACAATTCTCCTCACCTGAAGCCGGCACCTCAGAACTGGACCCCAACGGCTCCAAGCGGAAGCCGCCTCCGCGGTCAGTGGATGTCACAGTGACCTTTGTGCCCCGGATTTCCCAAGGTTCACAGCGGTAGCGGAACGGAATTTTCAAGGTCCCCTCTGTCCGGGTTGGAGGTTCAGCCTTTTGGTTCCTGGCAGAGCCGGAACTACCTTCCTCTATGGACTGAGCCTATTCCCTTGATACAATGTATCTACCTCCCGGGATACAGGAGCCCGAGACTCATTGAAACAATTCAGCCCCTGTGTGCTCCAGGACTCACAAGAGACTTAGATCTGGGTGGTTTGCAGATCCTACCTTTTGGGTAGGATTTTCAGAATGTCTGCTCACCTCTCTCTTAAACCCCAACTGAGCTGGAGTTCTCTGCTCTCCTCCTCTGAGCCGAGGAACTCAGTAAAGGCCGTCACTCAGCTCTCTTTCAATTACTCAGCAGTCAGTGCACACTACCTCCAGCAAGTTGTCAGCAGATGCAGAAAATGCTTGTCTAGGTTCTTTCCATCCCTAGGCATCATCTTCTTCGGTCCTGGTGGTGATCTGATGTTGAAAGTCCCGTGATGCTGAAGAGAGACTCTTTGATTACACAGCATAATGCTATTACAGGGGCTGGGGATTTAGCTCACCGGCAAAAGCGCCTGCCTGGCAAGCGCAAGGTCATGAGTTCGGTTCCCGGTACCGGAGAAAAACAAAAAAAAAAAAAACAAAAAACAAAAAAAAATGCTATTACACGGTATTTATTCGTATACCAGCTATTCTACTTCTAGTGCATTCTTCATATTTTGTCAAAATAGTGATTGTTGTGGATGCCAATCCTCACCTATTGGGGCATGGAGGGAGTGTATCAGTTCATTTATTAGCTCAGTTTCTAAAGCCATACGGTCTCCATTTTTCAGTTGTGCTGGTGTCTTCCCTGGACCACTGGCATGTGTGATGTGAGATACTGCTTCATATTATGGAGAAGAGTGAGGACTCATACAGAGATGGGTCACCTATAGGGTCTCAGTCCTCCACTGGCCTCCAGGCCCTACCCAAACACATGTAGCACATCAATAATCTTCAGCTTCTGAGGACCTCCTTAGGTTTTGATGTTTACAATTATTTAGTTATTTGATTGTGTGAGTTTACAATGCACTCTCTCTATGTGTTCCCCTCATCTTTTCCTAGGGTACATTTGAGATGCAAAAGATATTAGCACAAATTTTGTCATTTTTGGAACTAAAAGAAATTTAAAGAAACTGAGCAAATTTCATTATTGTGTTTCTCATCAATGAATATGTTATGCTGCTTTTATTTCAGATTTAATCGCTCTCAAAATGTAAGTAGCATTTCATAGTTGTGTCCATAAACCACTCAGACATTAGTTAGGCTTCCTTTATGATACTGGTACACTTAATCTATTACAATCTAGCATTTTAGACTGCAAAAATGTTTTCTAAACTTCAGTTCCTTATAAAAATCACTTAAACTGAATGTACAGCAGTGATTACTAGAAATTAGGAGGGGTATATAGAGAAATGCATGAAGTTTTGGAGGAATGGAGTAGGGTAAAATGTATCCATGTTTTATAATACCATACCAAACTCTTTTAATGTGTATATTTTGCACACATTAAGGAAAACTAAAATGAAAATCATTAAGGTAAATGAAGTAATGTGATGAGTTTCCCACTTTTTGCCCTGGTCTAAAGATTTCAATGTGTTAGGTGGCATAATGCCATAATCTCACTATGTAAAATAGCTCTGCATGAATTTTGATTCTTTGTCTAATATAAAATTATTGTTTAGATCTAAAATGTGTCTCAAAATCTCCCAATTGGAGGTGGGTGCTATTTAGAAGAGGTTTTCATTTGAGTATCTGTGGAGGGTATATTTTCTTCCCTGGCTCCTCCGTTTTCTCTTATTTTTCAGTGCCATAGCATGACCACCTCCTTAGCCATGCCATTATACCATGTCATTTCTACGTCTGAGCAGGCCAACCATGGACTAAGTCCATTGAGTGTGTGAGCCACAATAAACTGCTCCTCCTTGAAGTAGCAAGTGTTCAGCATGTTGTCCTAGTGATACAAATGTAACTAATATGAAATCTTGGAGTCAAGACTAGAGTCATTTCTATGACTGAACTTGACTCTGATCAAAAAGCTTTGGAGAGAGGAATTTGGCAAGCTTTGGAGATGCAGCTTAGAGAATCCATAGAATATTGTGAGCAGGATTTTTTGTGCAAAACATGTAAGAGCTCAGAAAAAGAAAACTGACAGCAGTGTGGAAACTAAAAGCCAAACTCAGAAACTTTCAGTTGGAAACAAGGGCCCCACTGGCAGTCGTACTAGATGCCATGTCATATGAGTTAAACTCTAGGACAGACTTTGTCTACATTTTCCTGGGTCCTGAAATTTTGTGGGAGACTGAGAGTGATGGCCCTGGAGAATTTAATTTGGTGCTGAAAATTACAACGCCAGCGGATGCTCAGTTTATGTCACATTTGTTGCAGAATTGCAGAAGGAAAATCTACAGTGAGTTCAGTGAGGCAGTGGCAGAGATGAAGCAATTGCAAGCTCTACTGTTTCACCAGAAAGAAATACCTAGAATGCTGGACAATGAAATAATGATTGGTAAAAGAATAGTTTTAAAAGGAAGGAAATTACTTTTTATAAGGCAAAGAAGCACAGTGTCTTAAAGGATATAAAAAATCATGGGGCTGGGGGTTTAGCTCAGCAGCACAGAGCTTGCCTGGAAAGCAAGAGGTCAAGAGTTTGAGTCCCGGTACCGGAAAAAAACAAAGCAAAACAAAACAAAAAGGATATAAAAAGTCAGGAAGTTGACACCCATTATAAGATCAAGAGTCTAAAATTAAATCTTTCACTTGAAGGCATTCTTTGGACGCCTCCTGTGTCAAACAGACCTGGCTTATTCACAAGATGGTAAAGAGCACTTTTATTATTCAAATGGAGCTGCTTTTACAGGCACCCACAATGTAAGAGATGTGAAGTGTGCAGGAAAATTTTTGCAAGGTTTGGAGATGCAGGCTAGTGAGGCCCCCAGAATGCTGTGAGCTATGCTTAGTATGCAAAACTGGCCAGAGTTCAGAGAAATAAATAGTTGTCAGACATTTTCACAGTGAGAGCCAAGCTCAGGAATTTTTATTTGGGAACAATTGTCCATTGGCAGTTGGACTTGATGCCAAATATGCTGTAGTGTAGTAGAAAATTGGCCTAAATTTTCCCCATTTCCTGAAATTTTATGGTGGACAGAGACTAACGGTCATGTATTAATTCATTTAATGTTGACAGTTACAAGATCAGACAATGTTCCAGTTGTGTCATGTTTATTGCTGAAAGCCTGTAGCAAAATCTATAGAAAGTTTCATGAGACAATTGTTGTCTTGAATGATTTGAAGTTTTAGTGTTTTACAAGAAAGGGACCCCTGCAAAAAAATGCCTTGAAGTCAGAGAAGACATCAATGAGTTTTCATCCATTACCCAGTCAAGGGTATAACACTGTATAACATTCATTTCAAGAGAGACCCCTGGAGAGTCTGAAGGGCCACATACTGAGGACAACCTAGGGATCTATATCTCTGAGTTCGGCTAGACAGACCCACACTGGCCATTGTAGCCATATCCCAAGAGGGCCTGGATTCAGCATAAGATAATAAACAACCCTTTTGGTATACACATGGCGGTGGCTATTTAGGCATGCAGCATGTGAGACATATGGAGACAGACAGTCTTCTATCCAGACTTCAGGAAAAGGTCTGACTGGGTCACAGGCCTTGGCAAGAGCTCTGGCAAGAGAGAGTAGTGTATGAAACTCTGTGAGTGAAACCAAATTTGTACTGAGGACCCTAGGAATTTACAGGTACCAAGTACAGCACATGGGTTTTCATTTGACAGAAACGAAAGAACTGAGTGGATCCAGCCCAAGCAAAAGGCCTTGTGGGCTGCAACCTGAATGTCCATAGGGCCAGGCCTGCCGAGCAATGTATCGTGCACATCTCACCACACCCTGCCCTGGCTGCTGGACGTGGACCAATGGAGTTAGTGTGCGCCATGCTGAGACTCAGTCTTGCATTACTATAATTCCAGTCTCTCCCCATTCCTCCCTTTTGCAATGGGAATGATGACCATGTGGCCCTGTATATTGGAAAGATTCTACGTTCTTTTTGATTTATATGGGAAATCAGAATTGGCATGGGTTCTAATGGGGAGATTTTGGATTTGGAATTTTATACAAGCCTGGAACTGTTCTACCTCTGGCCGCTCTTAGAGATGGACTAATTGCATTTTGAGTAAAGAGATGTACATGAGTTTGTTAGGTGTCAGGAGAGAAAGATATTTGTATAAATTTGAAGACTCCTTGAAATCATGATGTTCAGTTGTGGAGCATGGTAGGAAGGAGAAATGGTGTGTTCTTTCTGACACCTGCTTCTCCCACCTTCTGCCATCTGTTGTGATTTAGAGGCAATGAAGCATCTACTGCATCCTCTGAAAACTGGGAACCAAAATTCACTTCTTCTCCTTTGAATGACAGGTGACTGCTATTTCTTCACAAGCTCAGAATATCAAAAAAGGAAATACATATTACTACTTATTGGATAAAGACATTTATAGATATAGTAAAAATTACTATTTACTTGTATGCATAGGGCTGTCCAGTTATTTCAGAACCAGTCTTTATGAGACAGTCTCTTTTCTCTTATAGCCTTGGTTGACCATTTGTGACTCCTCACTTTCCTCGGCAGAGCAATTCAGGAGGCCTTTGCTGAACTGAAAAATGTTCGGTCACTTGCAATAGAAAGAAAGCTACCAGGAAATTGAGTGGCCATTGAACCACACAGGTTTGCAACATAAGGAGAATTAGTAGAATTTCCGTTTCTCAAAACTGGTTCATACAATGTGAATAGACCCACAGAAGGACTTCCTTTCTGTCCCTTTGTTTTCTTTGTAAGACTCCTATCCTGGCCTTAGGCTATATCCCTTCAAATGAAGCATGTTTCCCCCTCTCTGTCCACCTTCTTCCCTCAGCCAGTGCCCTTCTGTGATCTCCC